TAGAAGTAAAGAAAATTGAGTAGAAAAGAGGCAAAAGGAAGTTAATATTAAAATAACACCATACAAGTCAAAGCAACTGTTCTTGAAGACAAGATGCACAGAAATTTTTAAAGATCAAAAGTCTCCCAAAAGAACATGAATTTTTTTAAAAATACCATACTGCAGGAAATAACATAAGAAAACTGTCCAAAACTTTTGAATACAGATAATGAAATACTGATTCATTGAAACTACAGATCACTACCAGAGAGTAACCCACCAAGAGAAAATGGTTAATCACTTCCTTGACAGATTACATAGTGATAGAAACAATGGCATTATTTGTTTTTAGTATGTGGACTTTCCAACATTCTGTATTGAGGGACAAACTCTGAGGTATGGTATATAATGGTTAAACCACACAATTTCGCTAACAAGAGGAAAGACTTCAGCTATGAAGGAATGTCCAGTGAAATAATGCAGACATATTCAACATCTACTAGAAGTCACAAAAGTGGTATAGGATATTCAAAAAAGCAATTGGCCTCAAGTAACAACTCAAATTAAAACAACCTGCAAAGTTCAAACTTAATCATGAAGGAAAAACAACAGTTCTTCAAAAAAGCAGAGGCATTTGTAGCATTCCCCCAAACATACACGCGCGCACACACACACACACACACACCACACACACACACACACACACACACACACACACAGAGTAGGCCATTCAACTGGGAACCATTCCAAATAAGAGAAATACAAGAAAGCAAAATAACTTTTGCTCAATAATTATACTTAATCAACAGAATCAATTCACCAGTACTTATAGTCTATGACAAGAAAGGAACAAAAAGAAAAGAAATTGGACTGAGTGATAAAACAAAGCCCAAAGAAGGGCTGTTAAGAGGAAAAAATATTATAGTTACTAGTGATTTAAGGTAATCTTAAAGAATCAGGAGAACAGAAGAAGGCAAAGCTGAATTATTATTCCATGGACTAAATTCTATGCCCCTCTGTGCTAGGGATGCATGCCAGAGGATAGAGTACAAAGAAAGGATGATATGATTTTAGGAGTGAGGAAAGATCACAATAAAGGTAAGTAATAAGATCAAGTCTTAGGATTCAGGATGTATAGTGATACTTTCTATAAGATTTAGCTTCCTTCACAAACTGATACTTTTAAGAGTAAGGAATAGCTGAAAAGATCATTTCCAGAAGCAAACAGGCTCACCATAACTCCACAGGTAGAGAACATTGCACATGCTTTAAGAAGTAGAAAGCAATTCTAGTTCTTAGAGAAGGACCTAGAGACCACGAAAGAGAGAACAGAATTCAGAACAGACCAGAAGGGGATAGAAACAAGGAAGAGGGCAAAGCAAATTGCAAGTAAAGTAAAAACCTAGGGATTATTATTATTATTATTATATGATGATGGTGATGGTGATGGTGATGATGACGATGGTAATAATAATAACTAGAGGAAGGGGAATGATTCTGAACTACATACCAATCTGGATAGGAAAAGGGAAGATAGATCAGGTAGGAATAGAATGTTCACTGTGCTGCTGTAAGGACCCAATAGAGATTAGATAATAAAAGCATGTAATGAACTCAGTTAATGCAGTTTCATGATTTCTTCCAGCGCCTCCCAGGGGCATGTGAATAGGAGACATTGAGGCAAATTGGACAGATCAATCCTGGATCGGGATTCGGCAAGGTGTGATCAGTAATAGGACAATGGATGAAGGAATTTTAGAATAAAGGCTAGTGTAGAGTTGAATAGATTCTCTAAGTGGTCTACAGGAGAGCACTGCTTTCCCTACAGGAAGGCGGGAGTGATGGCAGGGGAAGGAACAGAGGGGTAGAAGGAAGAAAGGTCACAGTTAGGAGAAAGAACAAGGGAAAGATAGAATGATAAATGGTTATGATCAGATAAAGGAATTCTAGAGTTTGTGAACATGGAAGTAGAGCCTTTGTGAGTGATAGCAAGGAATGAGCATTCTTGTGTGTTATACACATACATTGCGCGTGACCAAATTATTATTGTCATACATAACTAAAAGTATTTGAAGTATGAGTGGAGGAGTTTGGTCATGGACTCATGATTAAGTGTACCCCTACTCTTGCTCTAAGCAGGGGTGGGAGAGTGATTCCCAAAGAGGAGTTATATGATAATGAGAGCTGCATATAATATGGAGGAAGACGTCAGAAGGTGAGAGTCAAAGGATGAATGTTTGAGTGTCAGACTAAATATCTCTCTAGATCCAGAAACCAGTCCTCTCCTCAATCTCCTGACTTCTCACGTCCACATCCCCACTAAGAATGGACTTCCCTGCTTGAGCTGTCCTTTCTTTGGCCAAAATGAAATTTCATCTCCCTCCCAAAGAGCTCATTTACCCTCAGGTGTTCTTTTGTTGGCTTCAACCTGTTTAACTTCCCCAATTTCTTTTTATTGTTTGCTTGGATAAATCGGCTTGTTCACAATCCAAGATTTCTGTGTCTGTGCATGTGCATGTGCATGTGTGTGTGTGTGTGTGTGTGTGTGTGTGTGCGTGAAGTCTTTGGTAGGAGTGAGCTAAGGTGGCAAAGAGTAAGCTAAATGTTGCTTTCCTCTTTAGAGTGACCAGGTAAAGTGTGTTTTATTCTGAACCCCTAAAAAAGAACAAGGTACATAACTCCCTAGAGATATCTGAGATATGGTAGATATAGTTCTACTCTGACATTCCCCTGGAGAGGAAAATGAATATTTGAGTGTTTATGCCCCCATTTTGCTCCCCCCAAAGGCAGAAATTATAATGTTCTTGGAGATGGAGGCCAGTTCCTAAATAAGATACCCATCCATACCTCAAATGAGCCAGCAGTACATATGTTAGATGTCTATCTATGTATACTACACGAGGAACTGAAAAGTGAGGATATATGAGGGAACATTAAATATCTATGTTGAAGTTCTTTGGATGAGGGCAGCAGTTGAGATAGAAGGACTGGATAAATTCATTAAGAAATGAAGGAGAATATTCTGGAGGACACCAGGATCTGGACTGGTGATACATTTTTATAATGTGAGCCCTCAAAGAAGAAGGAGGCTGCTGAGTTGGTGGTGGTAGATGGTGAATCTGAGTGTGGCAATGGTGAACAAAAACTATTGCAATTCCCTTATCATGGTCAGTGCTTGGTGGCTGGGGCCAGGGATGAGAGAAAATATAGCCAGTACAATAAATACTGTTGAGGGAAATGAAGGGTGCCAGACCTTAACGTTGGCCAAATTATGGGGGGAATAGGAAAGAAAAAGATTTATGATGAAGAGAAGTTTGTAAATTATAGAACAGGCATCCTAGAGGGCAAAGTAGAAGAGGGAAACATATTTGGAGTAAGATACTAGAGGAACAAGGTTGAAATGGATAGGAGTAAGCAGGTGATCAGTGGGCGTGGGTAGCAGGATTTGCACTTCAGCAGCCAGGGGTTCAGAATTTCTAGGAGGGGGCAAGTATGGGAGTTTGCTAACTGTGTGACAGTGTTTGGAGAGATTTGTTCTCCATCTTCTGTGGTTCAGTCTCATGGCAGATGGGGATTTCCTGTGCTGTGAAGGCCTATTTCACAGCAAGCAGGAATAGGTGGAGACATGGAAGCCCTGGGTGAAGGAGGCCCTGCATGGCAGGAAGTGAGAGATCTTATCCACAGAAGGCAGTCTCATACTAACAATGGTCCTAGGGTAAGAGCCCAGGAAGGAAGAAACCATCAATGACTCTCTGGCATGTAGCTCCACACTGGAGATAGGCCCTACAGAAGCCAGCAGGTGGCAGTTTCAATAATTCTACCCAAAGGATTGAGATTTCCAATTTAATTTCACTCATAATATCTTCTAAGAGATCATGGAACCTCAACAAGAAACTCCAGCACATTTTTAGGGCTTGTTTATTTGTTTAAGGATGACACAGAACTGAAGAGACTTAATCAAGGTCATACAGTGAGGATGTGGCAAAATCAAAATCAAGATTAGGACCCCCCAATATTTTATATTGAGATGGAAGAAAATAGGGAATATTTTAGTTTTACTCCAGAAGACATGAATACATTAGCTTGTGATTTCATTTAAGGAAATGAAGGAAAGAAGATAACAACAAGCCTAATTGTATCTTCCTATATTTGGAATGTGGGGGGCAGGGAGGGAAGCTTATGACATAATTCAGTAAATTTGTCCTTCAGAACACCATGACCACTAAATGAAAAATCACTGTTAAAAATTCATTAAGGTAATATTACTAGGGGGGAAAAGTCTAGAGTGAAAACACACTAGCAACTTTCTTATTTTAAAGGAAAAACAGTCCATCATTATGCAATTAGCATGCTCCTCATTTTAAGAAAGAAGTAGCATTAATGCAAACGTTTATTCATCCTCCTCACAGCAGTTATAGGAAAAACAGAAATAGGAGAAAAATAAATATGCTTCCCAGGCATAGCAGCCTGCATTACTTAATAAATGTTCATTAAATGAACATTGCCTTCATATGCCTTTCCACTGTTTTTTTTTCTCTTAATACTGTTTTACTTTTGTCGCAATGACAACGTGAACCATTTGAAACTCATTAGAAATGTGTTCACTATTCTACGTGGTATTAATTTATTGGGCCTAGATAACAACCCGGATCTTCCATAGCTAAGAATCAGTGCAACACCATGTGGCATTCCGTTGCCTACTCGGAGGAAGGCAGCTTGGGGAAGGAAAAACTCATTCTCTTTGGAGTCACAGGACCTGAATTCAAAATCTAGATCCTGTCATTTTCACTGCCTACATTTTTCTGCTTTGGGCAGGTTATTTCCCCTCTCTCGTTCATTTTCTTCTCGTGTAAAATAATGAGGTCGGCTTTCACGGCCGCCGAAATGTTCTAGCTCTAGAGTGTACAGTGTAAGGAGCTGTCCAAAAGGGGCAGGCGTGAACGGGCTGCGATGTGCACGCGACACCTCCCCCCAGCCCCCGGGGCAAGGTCACGGCCAAAACCGGGGGAGCTCGCGCTTACGGTGTGGTCTTCTTGGTGTCCAAAGCCCTGGCCAGGCTGAGCAGGGGCCTCGTGCTGGGTGTGGGCGAGCGCCTTAGGCTCGCGGCCAGCGAAGCTCCTCGACGGCGCCGGGCCCGCGGCCGCGGGGATGGCGAGCGCGGTTTGCTGGGGCGCGGGGAGCGGCGTCGGGGGGTGGGGGAGCCCCTCCTGGCCTTGGGCGGCGCGGACGGCGCCCGCAGCCGGGAGCCCACCCCCGAGGAGCAGCGGCAGGGGCGGCGGCGGGGCGAGCCCTTCCGCCGGGGGCCCCGGGAGTACGGAGACTCCGAAAGTCTGCGCCGGGAGTGCAGCTTCTTGCCCTGCGGGGACGTCGAGCACCGCCTCCGGGGGCCCTGCGAGGTGCGCCGCCGCCGGGTGGACTGCGAGTGCTGCCGGGGCCGCGGAGGCAGCGACGGTGGCAGCGACGACGTCAGCGACTGCGGCAGCGACGGTGGCGGGCGGCGGCGTCTCGACAGGGTCCGGGGGCTGTGGGGGCTGTGCGGGCTGCGGCGGCGGCGCCGGCGGGGCGTCGGGATCGGGGGCGGGGACAGGTGGAGTTCTCCCCAGCCTACGTGGGGGGGGCACTTCTTGCTGGCCCGGTGGTGCTCCGTGGTGCTCCCGGGCGGTGGGGCTCCGCTGAGCTCGGCTGCGCTCCGTGGGGCCGGCCCGCTGTGGGCGTCGGGTGGTGGTGCTGGTGCTGGTGGAGTAGGTGGTGGAGCCGGTGATGGTGGTGTACTCGACGACGCTGCCGGCGAGGGGCCGTTGCGCGCCTTGGAGCTTTGGGGCCGTCCACCTTCGGAGGGGGTTGGGAGCGGAGGGCACGAGCCATGGCACCCTGGTCAGCGCGCCACCTTCAACTTGCCTAGATCTCGGCTCCAGGGCCCCTGGACTCCCTCCTGCATCCGAGGTTGTGTGTGGAGAAACTGAGGCAGCCACTCCCCCGGGGAGGGGCGGGAAAGGGCGGTCACTTTTGTAATGGGCAGGCAGGAGGCGATGGCCGGGCCTTGACCAGAGAGAACTTGCCAGAAATGACCCAAGATCGTTCAGGGTGGGAGGAGGGGTCTCGCGGGCCACGGCGGCGGTTTGACCTGATTTCCTCGGGGAGCGCAGTGACCCAGGAGACATATAAACCGCCCCTAGATAGAGACCATATGTAATAACTATAGCGGCTCCGAGGCCTTCTAGGCCAAGGCACTCGTTTGTACAGATGAGGTTGTCGGAGGCTACACATAGCAAGCATTGGAGGCAGCGTGTGAAATGAAGGCTTGTAACTCCAGCACCATTTTTCTTTCCTTGGAACCATTCTTGACTCCCCTTAAATTTCTAATTGTAACCATCTCATGAATATTAACAAAGAAGTTAACATTAAGGAAACCCATTGTAGCTTGTAGTGAGACAAAGGTAATTGAAAGGGAAAAAAATCATTAAATGTGTTATTCATCGATCTGTGGACTTTGGCCCCGTGGCAAGGGCCCCCACCTGTCCATATTTCACAAATAAATTATATGGAATCATACAATGTTAGAGCTAAAAGCTCTCTCAGAAGTCATCTAGTCATGACAGCCTCATTTTACAGATGGGGAAACTGAGGCTAAATGACTTGTCCAGTGACACACAGCTAATGAGTATCTGAGACCCAGATTTGAACTGACTTCTTCCTGACTCCAGACATGGTGTTCTATCTACTATACCACCCAGCTGCCCTAGCAGACTATAGGAAGCTTGAAGTGCTTGAAGTAAAGACTGTCTACTAATACTTAACATTTATATAGCACTTTTAAGGTCTGCTAAGCCTGTGAAGTAGGTGCCATTATTGTTATTATCCCCATTTTACAAATGAGGAAACTAAGGCAGATTAAGTGACTTGCCCAGGGTCATGGCTGGTAAACTTTGGAGGCAGGACTCACACTAGGGTCTTCCTGACTCCAAGTCCAAAGAGATGAAAAACAGTTCCTACTTTAAGGAGCTGACATACTGCTTGGTGGGGCTTGGGAAATAGAGAAATACAAGGAAATGTAAAATGGATGATGAAGAAGAGAGTACTAATAGCCAATGGGATCAGGAAAGGATTAATTTAAAATCAACTGTTAAATTTTCATTCTTAAGCATTTACACCTTCAGAAGTTGGCAAATGCTACAAATTGGGGCTTGCTTTATTGTTTTGTTGGTTTTCTAGAGCCTCCATGGAGAAAATATTAATAAGGAAGGTAACACTTAAAAGAGTGTCCCCAATACATTCCCCCACTCAGGAAAACCAGTTGTTCAGCTATTTTACCAGCACATCCCCAGCAGCCTATGCAAAAGCAAGAAATGGGAAATGAAATGCTTGAGTTTTAGAAACCTGCCAGTTTGTTTGTTTGTGCATATTCATGATAACCTTAAAATGGACAAAACTAATGAAAGAGGAGTAAAGAGGAAAAGAAGGTATTCATCTTAAAACACAAATCTGAGCACACAGATCCCTTAATCAACTCCAGGAGTTTCCTTTTGCCTCTTGCATAGACGACTCTGTTTAGCTTTTAAAGCCCTACACAACCCAGGCCACCTATCTTTCCAGCCTCCTTAGAAATTATTCAACTGCTGCACTGGCCATCCTCCATGCCTAGAATCCACTCCTTGCCTCCACTTCATAGAGTACCTGTCTTGCTTTGAGATACAGCTCAAGCACCATCTTCTAAGAAGTCTATCCTAATTAATTGCTAGTGTTCTCCATCCCAAACTACCTCTTATTTAATTTATATAATTTTTAATTTATATATATAAAATATTTAATTTATATATATATAATATATAATATATGTTATATATTATATTATATATAGTATATATTTTATATTTTGTATAATTATAAATATATATTAATATGTAATATATATTTAATTTATATATATAATAATTTATATACATTTATTAACTATATGCTATTTGTATATATATGCATATATACATATACACATATATATGTACATGTGTGTATGTGTGTGCGTGTATACTTGTCCTTTCCCCACTCTCCCCACAATAAAATGTAAACTCTTTCTGAGAATGGATTGTTTCATTCTTTGTGCTTCTATCCTACTGTGCCTAGCACAATGCCCAACACATAGTAGGAGCATAAAAAATCTTCATTCATTCATTCATAGATTATAACTATTAACTGTTGTTAATGCACAATCTTTGTACAATTACTACAAGTTAACACATTATTGAAAGAACTGAACTACATCTAAAATGACAAAAAAGTAGACTAATGTTTTTTCAAAGAACCCCCCTAAGAATTTAAAAAACAAATGTGCAATATATATCAAAATATTTGTAACAGCATTTTTTATGGTAGCAAAAAAAAAGAAAAGAAAAAGAAACAAAGTAATTGTTTATCAGTTAGGGGATGCTTGAAAAAACTTAGTCATTGAATATAACGGAATATTATTATGTGGTAAGAAATGTGGTTAGGAGGAATTAAGAAGAATTTGGGAAGATTTGTATGAACTGATACAAAATGAACAATACAAAAAAAATGATATACACAATGACTACAGCAATGTAAATGAAAAGGCCACTAAAAGGAACCTGAATTCTGAGTAACTGAAATACAAGTGAATGTCTTGGGGAGGTGAAAATAAAATGTACCTCTTCCCACAAGGCAAAGAGGTGGGGATCTACTGGGGCCAAATAATGTGTACATTATCAGGCAGATCATTGTATCAGATGATTTTGCTTTATTATTTTGTGATATGGTAGTGTTCAATCCAGAAGGGAGAAGTGGTAAATGACTTCTGAAGACAAAAGACATAAAACTTTTCAAAATTATGATTAGGCAGGAAATGACTGGTTATAGACATTGATCATTGAAGAATTATCTCTGTAGCTAGCTTGGTCACCAGATTGAAGGAAATATCCCATTAGAAGAAAGCATGAAGATCATAGGATCATGGATTTTGATCTCAAAGGGATGTCAGAGGCCATCTATCTAGTTCAACTCTCTTCATTTTATTGATAAGGTAATTGAGGCCCAGATGATAAGACAGTTTATATAATGGTAGAAGTTCCAGGTATACCTACTTAAGGAAGCTGTAAATTGCTAAAAAAAAAAAAGACACAAAAACCAAAAACAGAAAATGAAACAAAAGTTAAAGTTATTTTAAACGTAGTCCCATTGACGTGCCTCAGTTTTGCAGGGTGGGTCCCCAAGAGTACAGATGCTTTTGGTTCAAAGTCCTAAGACAGGCTATATTTCCTTCCAGGAGTGGAGAACCTCCGGTTTCAAGGCCACATATGGTCTACTAGGTCTTCAAGTGGGGCTCTTTGACAGAATCCAAACCTGAGTCAAAGGGCTCACTTGAGGACCTAGAAGGCCACGTTTGGCCTCGAGGCCAAACTCCTGCCTTCAAGCCACAATTCAACAAGTTCATAAGGTAAATACCAATGAGTTGACCTTGGCTAGAGGACACAATTAGTCTAAATGGAAGACATTCAGTGAAATAGCATAGTAACCAACAAAACGCTCCCTGCTAAACCTGCGGGGCACTTTGCCAGACGTCCATGAGAAAACTGGGCATGAGTGCATAGGAAACGCATGGAGGGGCACAGACGCAAGGAACATGTATGGTCAGGGTGTAAACATGGAGAGATTCACATTTATGGCTGGGGCTTATGCATGGAGAGCTAACTCTCACCTCTGATGTGGTAAAGCTATTGATGTCTTTCTAGCGCTGATGTGGTGCTTCTCCCACCAGGCCTTCTCTTCTGCCGGGTTTATTGACTCCCCCCACGGCTACTCAGCTGTACACCACTGCCAGATGCTGCTTACGGGCTTGGCTTGACACTGCTTGACTGGATGAATAATCCTCCTTGCTGGACATTGCTCTGCTGGACACATCTCTGTGGAGCTTCTCTCTGCTCCAGGCTCTGCCTTATTTGAAATCCTTTCTGCTTATAACTCTTGTAGAAGAGACAGGAACTCTTGTCTTGGATCAGCAAAAAGCCTTCTCTTGGCTTCTCCTATCTTTTCCCTTCTGAATCTTAGCTAAACCGCAGCACTAATCTCTTTAGAGCAAAAATAAGGATCCTCCTTGACGGCTAATGCCCTCAAGTACGCTTCGTCTTTTCTTGGTGCATTTTTTTTCTGGAACATGGGGTTGGTCCCTCTATTAGAGACTCTACTCTGACTAATGGTGAACAATCCCTATACCTCTTTAATCTCTGAAGACTAGACTTTAAAGTAGGTAATGGCTATCTGGCCAGACAGCTATATGGCATGGTGGATAGATCACTGGGACTAAAGACAGACCTGAGTTCAAATCCAGCCTCAGACACTTACTTTAGCTATATGACCCTAAGTGAGTTACTGCACCTCCTTCTGCCTCAGTTTCTTCATTTGTAAAATGGGGATGATAATAGCTCCTACTCCCCAGGGTTGTTTCATGAGGATCAAATGAGATAATATTTGTAAAATTCTTTGCAATCTTGAAACGTGATAAACATCAGCTATTATCATTCATGACCAAATAACTCTAAGATTTGGGTTCCCCAATTTTTCAATCTGATGTTTTTTTAAGTTTTCCTTTGTCAATGAATGGGAAGGATAAAAGGCATGAAGACAAAGTTAAATTCAAAGTCATTGTCTCTTCTACCATTTAGCTGTATTCCTGGATATTCCCCATACACATATGGCTAACCAAAGCCTAAGAAAGGCTTTGAAGTACACCTTAACATCAGAAAATTACTTATTTACAATAGGATGACTGAACTCAGAAACCACCTGTACCAGCAAGTAATCGGTTCCTGTGCCAACCATAGTGAAAAGTCACCCTGGTTTAGAGTTCAAGCTCATTTTAAAAACATTATAAGGTAGGATGACTGAAGATTATAAGTATAATTATCTCATAACTGATAGATGAAGGAAACACATTTAACGGGCAAGGGAAGTGAGTTTATAAGAAGCAAGTCCAAGGTTAAGTGACTCACCGAAGGGCACAGCTGATATATGTTAGAAGTAGGATTGAACCTGGATCTTCCTGAGTTCAAGGCCACCAAACCAGTGGTTCTCACAGTAGACTGTAAGAGTCCCAGAATCATTCAGGAAGTATGAGAAGTCAAAACTTTTCATGATGATACTAACATATTATTTGCCTATTAAAATG